ACCAGGTGCTCCCCTTCCCCAGGCCCTGCACCAGGTGCTTCCCTTCCCCAGGCCCTGCACCAGGTGCTCCTCTTCCCCCAGGCCCTGCACCAGGTGCTCCCCTTCCCCAGGCCCTGCACCAGGTGCTTCCCTTCCCCAGGCCCTGCACCAGGTGCTCCTCTTCCCCCAGGCCCTGCACCAGGTGCTCCCCTCCCCCAGGCCCTGCACCAGGTGCTCCCCTTCCCCAGGCCCTACACCAGGTGTTCCCCTCCCCCAGACCCTGCACCAGGTGCTCCCTTGCCCCAGGCCCCGTGTTAGGACCCACCTTTCTCAGACGTGGCTGCCCTTGGGGAGGGTTCCTGGTGCATCAGGGATTGTGGGGGGCTCTGGCCTGGCCAGGCCTCCGTGGTACCCCAGCCCGCTTGTCTGACTCCTCCCCTGGTCTCTGAGCCGTGTTGTCCCTGCTGTTCACAAACGCCTAGTGTTCCCCCTGCTGCCCTTTCCTTTCATCCCAACAAAAGCCTGTCCTCCTTCCGCTTGGCCTTTCGTCCTTCAAGACTGACGGCTGCACCTTTTCCCAAACCCCGTCCACCTCCTGTCACTTCGAGAACCTCCTTGGGCCCCCACTTAGCGCCTGGGCCGCCCCTGGGCCCCGTCACGTCCTGCCGTAGCTCAGGGTTGTGTGTGTCTGTACTTTTTCCCTAAATAGTCTGTCACTTGGAACCGGGTCTCCCTCTTTGTCCCTCTCGTTACTTGGAAACCCCACGGCTTCGTGCGTGGGAACAGCCCCCGTTTGCTGCGAGGACACTGGTGCCCTCAGTGTGAAAGCCAGGAGGGCTTCCCGCCTGCTTCCCGGAGCAGCAGCGACGGTGGGATGTGCTGGCAGTGCCACATCGGACATGTGGTCACGTTCTAGCTTAATGCGTCTCCTAACACGACATGTTGTGTGGGGTGAGGCCCCAGGGCCCGGCAGCAGAGGTGAGCGGCCGGTGGGTGTGCAGCCAGGCCTGACCGAGCGCCCCCTGCAGGCACCGACGAGGAGAGCATCCTGACCCTGCTGACGGCCCGCAGCAACGCGCAGCGCCAGGAGATCGTGGCCGCCTTCAAGACCCTGTTTGGCCGGGTAAGACGCGCCCCGTCGACTGCCGGCAGCTGCGAGTTTAAGATGCGTTTGAAATTTTGGCAGAAATCGTGTATTTAACGATTCCAGCTTTCCTCCTCCCCGACCCGCATTTGCTTAATTAGCAGCTGTCGGTGAACAGTGCTCACCCGCTTGTCCCCACACATCGCCCTTCCTGCTTGAGGTTGGACCCCGCCCTCCTGCGCCTCCCAGGGTGTCCCAGGGGTCCCCGCCTCCCAGGGTGTCCCATGGGGTCCCCGCCTCCCCAGGGTGTCCCACGGGGTCCCGGCCTCCCCATCCAGCTGTCAGCCTTGGGCCGCGATGCACGTCGTCAGGACACAGGGCACAGCCTCGACGGGGAGGGTGTTTTGACAATTCAAACGGAAATTAAATTTGTTACGAAATGAATGGGCGCCTCCATAAAAACTTGGGTGTCATTTCATCATTCTGCACATTTTCATTCGCCCTTTCACTTAGAAATAAATGCAAAGCAAAAAAAAAAAGCAGCAGCAGCAGGCACTTTGACCCCGGTTTCCAGCTGTCAGGAGGCTCAATGGAGGGGCTGGGCGTCCCGCTCTCCTTCTGACCCGCGAGCGCGTTTCCCAGGGTGCAGGCCCCGTCGGGCACAGCGCGTCCTCCGTGACACAGAGGAAGGAGAGGTGTTGGCGGAGTATGGGCCAGTTTTTACCCTTTGTCAACATACACTTACGATTTTTTTGGGGGGGAAGTTTTTTTTTTAAAGCTACACGTGTTTCTCAGAACAGTATTTTTAAAACAGATTTTTTTGTGTCCTTTTAAAGTTTTCATTTTTTTAATTCCTGAAGGAAGAGAAACAATCCTTGAACAGCGACCTTGACACGGAGGGAGGCCTTGCTTCCCCTCAAGCCCAGGCCGCGGCTTTGGCTTCGCTCCGCGCCTTCTGCTGGGGAGCCCTTCAGAGCGAGGGCCGCCATTCCCAGCGAAGACGCGAAGAAGAGCAGCGTGTGCGCCTGGTAACGCGCCCGTGTTCTCTGTGCGCAGGACCTGCTGGACGACCTGAAGTCGGAGCTGACGGGGAAGTTCGAGAAGCTGATCGTGGCCCTGATGAAGCCCTCGTGGCTCTACGACGCCTACGAGCTGAAGCACGCCCTCAAGGTACAGGCGGCGCCCACGCGCCTCCCCATGTGGGTCTGTGCTCGTGACCACCCCTCCTTCATCGTAAAAATACTCGGTTATTCCTGCGAGGGTTTCCTGGAGAACAGAACTGTGGGAGGCAATCAGGAGGAGAGGCGGGAGCAATTACAAGCGTGTCATTTAATCATTTAATCCTTCTTGTATAGTTTACTCAATATTAGTGGCTGTTTACATTAAAAAAAGATATATATATATACACACACACACACATATATATATAGTTATCGATTTCAGAGAGAAAGGGAGAGGGGGAGAGAGAGAGAAACATCAGTGATGAGAGAGAATCATTGATCGGCTGCCCCCTGCATTCCCCACACTGAGGATCTAGCCCACACCCTGGGCATGTGCCCTGACCGGGAATCGAACCACAACCTCCTGGTTCATAGGTCGATGTTTAACCACTGAGCCATGCCGGCGGGGCGCTATTTAAATTTTTTAACATTTTTTACAGCCTTTTAGATCTCTTAAGCCTGTTTCTAATTTTGAGATGTGTCTTAAAAATGTTACAGGTTAGGTGTTTTATCTTATAAAATAGGAAGTTGGCGGGCTGGGGGAAATAGTATGGTTAATCATCAGAGGTTAAACAGTAAAGCTTCGGGGAATTTTCAGATCAGAATGGTGGTGTTACACCCTGTCCTAGGAGTGTCCGGTGAACTCGTTACCCTTTCCTTGTAGCCGATAACTAACTGTCCTCCACGGCTGCTGGAACTATTGTGTGAGTCTGACGACACTGAAACGGTGGTTGGACCTGTGGCTCTGGAAACTTCATTCAGTAGCAGTTTTGAGTTTGGAGGAAAAGGAAACAGATTGAATAACAAAGAGATAATGTGGCCCAGGGATTCTTCGTGGGAGTGGAGGGCAGAGGGGTACCAAGATAGGGGCCTTGCTGGGCCTACTCCCTGCATTTTCCTACAGCGATTCTCTGGGAGCAAACACTATCTTAGGGCACCGGAGACAGGGTGTCTTGGTGGCGTGCTCTGAAGTGGTAGCAGCAGCTAAGGTTCTGCCAGAGCATACATCCAGGTCTTCCAAGGGCTTGGTTTTGGGAAAGAAACAGAGATATGAAGAGAATAATGCTTACATATACTACCTTTTAAACTTGAGGTAGGTTATATCATTGCTTGTGTCTTCTAATTTATCAGTGTCGCTGTGACTTTTACCATCAGAAAAAGGAAAACTGATTACAATTATTTTTCTTTTTTAAAAAAATATATATTTTATTGATTTTTTTTTTTACAGAGAGGAAGGGAGAGGAATAGAGAGTTAGAAACATCGATGAGAGAGAAACATCGATCAGCTGCCTCCTTCAAACTCCCCACTGGGGATGTGCCCGCAACCAAGGTATATGCCCTTGGCCAGAATCGAACCTGGGACCCTTGAGTCTGCAGGCTGACGCTCTATCCACTGAGCAAAACCAGTTAGGGCAGGGCTGATGTTTTGAGTAGATTGTTTAAGTATCAGTGCTTCTCCCTATAAATCCATGTTAAGAGTTACATTTGCACTATTTCAGCCTTTTTTATTTTTCCATGTTTCATTAAAATGCTTTACTTTTAAACTATTTAGAATTAAGCCGATAAAATTACAGGTTTGTATAATCTGCTGTCTCTGTATGCACACTTACAATGAACGTTGTTTTTCATTAGACAACAAGGGGTAAAATTGTCTTAATTTGCAGTTTCTCACTTCTGTAACTAACGGAACGCACAGGCAAAGGAGGGACTGTCATGTTGGACACTCTGTATGATCCTGCAATTTGGGTAACGTCTGTTCTAGGAAGATCACTTTCTTTTTAGTCTGTTGACATGTTCTTTTTATTGAAAATTAATCTCCACAGGGAGCGGGGACGGATGAGAAAGTCCTGACGGAGATTATTGCTTCCAGGACCCCTGAGGAGCTCACGGCCATAAAGAAAGTCTACGAGGAAGGTACAGGCTTCAACCTGCATTTCTCGTCCCCCTGTCCCTCCTCCATTTCTCTAGAACAGTGGTTCTCAACCTTCTGGCCCTTTAAATACAGTTCCTCATGTTGTGACCCAACCATAAAATTGTTTCGTTGCTACTTCATAACTGTAACGTTGCTACTGTTATGAATCGTCATGTAAATATCTGATATGCAGGATGGTCTTAGGCGACCCCTGGGAAAGGGTCGTTCGACCGCCAGAGGGGTCGCGACCCACAGGTTGAGAACCGCTGCTCTAAAGCGAATGCAGGTCCGTGGTTGCCGGAGGCAGGCCACGCGTGACTACTGGACGAATGGGTGAGGGAATAAGTGAGAAACCATTCAAGTTGCTTTTCTCCTCCCCCACCCCCTTACCCATAACTAACATAGTTATTTATGGGTAACTTTTAGTTTTATAAGGAGTTTTGGATGAAGATGGCATTCCCTTTTAGGTAGGATTCGCCACTAGGATAGGGATACACCAGTGGGTCTTTCTTTCATATTCACTTTAAGATGTAAGCAGGCCCTGCCAGCGTAGCTCAGTGGTTAGAGGGTCAGCCTGTGCACCAGAGGGTCGAGGGTTAGATTCCTCGTCGAGGGCATTTACCTGGGTTGCGGGTTCACTCCCTGCCCCTGGTCGGGGTGCGTGCAGGAGGCAACCAGTCGATGTGTTTCTCTCACATCAGTGTTTCGCTCTCCCTCCCTCCTTCCCTTCCACTCTCCGTAGAAGCAGTGTTAAAAAAAGATATATTCTTGGGTGAGGATTAGCAAAAGGGAAAGTTGCAAAGGTTTTTTTTCTTCCTTATAAAAGTTCAGTTTTCTGTTAGCAAAGTTGAGAATTATCCAAGGTAAAAAGACATTTCACCAGGCGTGCCATTCTGCGACGGCTGTGTTTGAGGGCTCCACGCTGGCTCTCCTTTCTGGCCTGCCTTACTTTTCCTGTGAAAAAAAGTCCGTCGGTCTGAAGCATATTCTGTGAATGGAACCAGGAAAATGAAAATAAAAGTAAAGGTAGTAGACAGTTTCCCCGTCAGATGTCCAGTACCAGACTCGCCCTGCCTGACGGCGGGACCAGCTGTCCAGATGGCGGCCAGTCCTCAGGCCGCCACGCCCGCTGCTCTCAGCCAGGAGCGTTCGTTTGTTAATCTTAGGATCGTCCGCTGGGACCCAGCAAGTCAGAACAGTGTGGGGTTTACAGCAGCTAAACAGCTACCTTCCCAAGTGCTGGTCTCTCTGTCGTAGGCCCCTCTCACCGACACCAGAGAGGGGTTCCCGGACAGGACAGCCCCCGGCGCCGGGGGAGAGGCTGTCCCCAGCCTCCATCCTCGTCTTCTCATGTAAATGAACTAGAGGCCCGACGCACGAAATTCAGGCGAGGGGCTCGGCCCTCGCAGCCGGGTCCTTCCGCTGTTCGGCTGTCCGGTCTAATGAGCATATGACGCTTTTATTATTATAGATTTATACGAGGGACCTTGACCGCCTTGTGAAAAGCCAATTTATTAAAGCAATTAAAGCTGCATCTCGATTGAAAGAAGCAAAAGCAAAGCCGGCAAACCTAGGCACCTGGCCCATGAAGTGCAGATGGGCTCTCAGCTCATCAGAAGAGCGAGTTGGGTGGGGTCGGAGGCGTTATATACCCTCCTGTCCACCGGCTTCAACATTCCTCTGCTGACTGTTTTGGTGCAGAGTGATTCTCAAGGCCCCTTTTTTTAACTCTGTTGTGGCCTTCCCAGAACTCATGAGAAGCACCTGCAACTTTATCTTGCCCAGCCCGAGGCTGCGGGCTTCTCTGCTGAGGGAGTAGAACTGCCTTTTCCCCTTTCCCCGCCTTCTCCCGCTCCCCCTCTGCATTCTCTCATTCGGAAGGTTTTTCACCATTTGCTCTCAGGTTTGTGGCTGGGAAGACAATGGCTTGCTAGTTACCAGCTGGCTGCACCGTTTGGCCTTGTTTTAACTCCCCTGCCTCAGTTTCCCTAGTCCTCCTGCCCCGGGGCCCTGTAACACTCCTTGCCTGCTTCTGCTGTGATGGCTGGACAGCCCCAACCGTGAGGCAGACGTGGGACGTGCATCTCAGATGCCTGTGGTCACCTGAGAGCCGTGTTCCATGTCACAGTCCGGTATCGCTTTCTGACATGGAAGAGTGAGCCAGTGCGCCCGGTGGCTGCCGGGTGCCTCGAGGGCACAGTGCCTGCGTGTGGTCCCTGCAGGGGCTCTGGGTCTGGCAGCGTGAGGGCTGTCATGAGTGACAGGGAAGATGCACCAGGCCTGGTTCGTGCCCTCAGGACATTTGCTGCCTACTGAGGGGTGACGGGACTTAGAGAAACGCAGTAATTACAGGGCAGTAAACCTCAAACGGAAGCCAAATACCCACAGTCTTTAATGCAGGAATTCACTCAGAGAAGAGAGGCTTTGGGTGCTGGGAGGGTCTTCATGGTGCAGTCAGGGGCTGAGCAGGGTTTTGAGACAGGGGTGGGGGGTGGGGGGTGGGGGGTGGGTCGGGGGAGAAGGAAGGCAGTTTGGTTGCCCACCCACGGCCTGCAGTGCCACGGAGGCCGGGCTGTGGAAAGTGTATGGAGGGGACAGAACCCGACCGCGTGGAGGAAACGCGTGTGTCCGGGTGGAGAGAACCTGAGCAGGCGAGTTAGGCCGTTACAGGGGACCCGCATGGCGGGTCAGCAGGTCGGCCTTGGTTAAAGGCACAGCGCTTCCCGGGGGGCGAGGGGTGTTGAAGGACCAGGAGGAAGGATCTGCATCAGTGGAGGATCAGGTGGCCGCGTGAGGGCGGGAGGTAAACCAGGCAGGTCCGACGTCCAGGTGGGTGGCAGGTGGGGGGAATGAACCCTACAGGGAGACACGTGTGAAAGGTGTTGAGTGGAGGGAGCGAGGAAGGATTCTTCAGGGTTTGTATTTGGGTAGCTGATTGAAATAAACATACCACGCTCTTGGACCTTTCTAAATAGAAGTTTCAGGCTTGTAAGTGTTGGCTGCTCTCAGATAACGATGGAATATTTAGATGCCTTGGGCCGGGCCGCCTTCGTTCAGCGGCGCTGCGGGCTCCTGTGGTCCGGTCTCCCTGCCCTCGGCCGCGGTGGAAGAGCCGAAATGTGTGGCGGGCAGTGGCCTGGTTTAAGCTGCCACTGCGCGCCCTCAGCGTGAACTGTATTTGCTGCGGAGGAAAAGTACCCTTTTAGTGGAAGGATGGCCATTCCCCAAGAAAGAAAACTGAGACTGTCAGAGCCGCAGTTTCCGTCTGGTGTGCCACACGAATGTTTAAGACATGCAGCCCCTGACTGCTGAGTCAGGGGCACCGACCTTTCCCCTTCGACCAGTGGTTCTCAACCTTCCTAACGCCGCGACCCTTTAATACAGCTCCTCCTGTTGTGGTGACCCCCAATTTCATTGTTACAAATTGAACATAATTAAAGCATAGTGATTCATCACAAGAGCAATATGTAATCATAGATGTGTTTTCCGGTGGTCTTAGGCGACCCCTGTGAAAGGGTCATTCGGCCCCCAAAGGGGTCGCGACCCACAGGTTGAGAACCGCTGCCTTAGATTGTCAAATGAAAAAAATGACAGCAGCCAACACAACAATAGCCGTCCGGTGTGAACCAATCAAAATGATGCCTCATTTTCTGCGCGTCATTGGCAAAAAGTACCCTATGTGCTGGCGTGCCACAGGAGCTCAGTGGTCCGTTTATGCCGCGAGATGGGAGAGGTTGCAGATCGCTGGTCCGGAGGGCGGGAGACCTAGGGGCCGTGCTGCACGCCGTCTGGAAGGAGGAGGCAGTGAGCCTGGGTGCGCCTGCGCTGGGGGCCCTGTGCCCGCAGGCTCTCGGCGACGTTGGCCCGAGCGCTTGTGAGCTGAGCGGCCGAGTCACGGTTCGGGCGAGGACCCCGTGCTTCTGGGGAACGGACTGCCTTTCGGGTCAGCCCCTCACTCGGAGCCTTCGCCGTCACAGTCTGGGGGGCTCAGAACAGAGCAGAGAACAGTTATGCTAATCAGATACTTCTTTTTTAAAGTTAAGATCGATTTTTAAAAGATGTTTTCATTGATTTCAGAGAGAGGAAGGGAGAGGGAAAGAGAGAGAGAAACACCACTGATGAGGGAATCATTGATGGGCTGCCTCCTGCACGCCAATCCCAACCGACGTCTCAGGCTTTTAGATGCTGTCTGCGTTCCAATAGCGATGAAATATTTAAATGCCTTGGAGGCACCTCTTCCCTGCAGTGGCGGCTGCAAGTTAGTAACAAGGGCTGCGGGCTCCTGTGGTCCTGGGGATGGAGCCACCACCCGGGCGTGTGCCCTGACGGGGAGTCGAACCGCGACCCCCCGGCTCATGGGTCCCGCCAGCTGGGCTGAGCGAGCGCTTCTCCCCCTGTGTCTCCTCTGCTGGCGAAGGGGGCGGGGTCTCTTCTAGCTGCCGGAGCTGTGACTAAGTCTGACGTTGTTCTGTTGCAGATACGGCTCGAGCCTGGAGGACGACGTGGTGGGGGACACCTCGGGGTTCTACCAGAGGATGCTGGTGGTGCTCCTGCAGGTACCGGGTGGGCGCGCTGCAGTGTGATAGGAAATCCCAAGCCAGACTGGCCTGACCCGTGAAGCGAGGCCACTCACGATTCTGTCAGTCATTTCTGCTCGGTGCTGGCTGTGTGGTGTCCGTCTTCTCGGGTCTGAGCGGAACGCCTCGTAGCTGACTGGCAGTTTTCTGGGGTGTCACTGTCCTCTTTTACTCATAGAATTTAAAACCAAGAGGATCGGGCGGGGCTCGGACCGCGCTGTGGGATAAGGGGAAACACTGATAGGATCTTAATAAAAAGTACGTTATTCCCGAGAAAAAAAGCTTGAGCGGCCGAGCAGGTGGCGCCGCTGTAACCCGGGGTGTCTGTTCTCTCTCGCAGGCGAATAGAGACCCCGACTCCGGGATCAACGAGGCGCAGGTTGAACAGGACGCCCAGGTGAGTGGCCCCGTGTGTGGCTGCTGCGTATGACATCCGAGTGAAGAGAGTCCGTGCTCATGGCGTTCTCCTGGCGTCTGTCTGGTCTCTCAAAGCACAAGGCCCGTGTACATTTCCTTCACTTTTTTTTTTTTATTAATATATACTTTTTTTTATTGATTTCAGAGAGAAAGGGAGAGGGAGAGAGAGATAGAAACATCAATGATGAGAGGCAGTCATTGACTGACTGCCTCCTGGCTGCTCTCTACTGGGGATTTAGCCCACAACCCAGGCATGTGCCCTTGACCGGAATCGAACCTGGGACCCTTCAGTCCGCAGGCCGATGCTCTATCCACTGAGCCAAAGCGGTAGGGCTATTTCCTTCACTTTGATGTGGCCCACAAACCCTTTTACCCCAAAGCCGAAGTGAAGTGAAATAAATGACACATGAAGAGTGAGGAGCACGAGGTGGGTGCAGTTCTTCCGGGATCACGGAACACCCACAAATCGGAGAATCTGACAGAAAAACAACCCAGGTGTTATTGATCCCACTGCCAAGGGGGCAGTAGGTCTGGGCAGAGAGGATAAGAGGAATGTATTTCAGTGATGAGTGGTGTTTCGTATACAGCAGGTGGCAAATAATTGTAGGATTGGGGGGTTGCCCCCCTCTGCCGAGTGGATGCGTCATTGCCATTGGTTTCGAGGGCGGTCCCTCTGCAGAGTGCCCCCTCTCCATGCATATCAGCCTCGTCGCCCGGGGACCCCCCAATGCAGGTTCCCCTCAGGGCCCAGGGGCCGGGCACCGGCATTGCTCACAGGCTCGTGGGGCCCCTGGGGTCATGGGCCACACAGAGGCCGTGCAGGTGTCCCCTCCCGCCCTGCAGGGGTGGGACCGCCCAGAACCGAAGGGGAACATCAGAACGTGCCCGAGGAAGTGTCCCCTGACCGGAGTCCAGGCCTCCGCCTGCTCAGGGCCAGGCAGCACCGATGGCG